GTAATAATAGATATTCTGATATTAACATAATTGTTTATATATTCTTGATGAATTAATTTAAAAGTTTCGATCACTCTCTGTAAATTGATAATATCTATGACAAACTTATAGTAAATGTAGTACGGTATGACGAACTAATCTTGAATGAATATTTTTATCTTACATCTAATGAGAAAAAATTTGTTTTTTCTATTAAATATCTAAATAAATGATTAATAAGTTTTTGTATAACTATCAATAATAAAATATTATGTTACTTTGACCTTGTTTTCGGACAATTACTTTTGACATTCTTGGAATACTATTAATCATTCTCTTATATTTTTCTATATCAATAATTTTTTATTTGATATTTTCATACTTACTTAAATCTTGATAGTTCACAAATTTTCTATTAGTCATAATTATATTATCTATTTGGCTTGAAAATAAATACTGAGAATTTTTTAAATAAAAATTGTAAAAACTATTGAAATAATAAATCCAATAAACTTCATAAAATAAAAAATTTCTGTAAACAAAAAAATATACAATTATTATTAACAAAATTTTTCTCAATAAATGTCAGATGAAAATATCCACTCAAGATTAGTAACAAGGCCATAACATTGTACTACATTTATGTATTTTGAAGTATCTTTTTTTTTTCTTCGAATGATAGCTACAGTCTTTCTCTACAAAATTACATATTTCGATTAATTAACCATATTATAAAGAAGTCGAAAAATTTCCACCACTCTTTCCTAGTGAAATAATTGTTGTTATATCTTAAAATCCAAATGAAATGATTAAATATGAAGAAAAACTTTCGACGAATCAATTTGCCTTCCTTACAGTAGAGTTGACATGTGTATCATATCAACTCTCTGAACGTTGTTCTTAACGATCTTACGTTATGGTTTAAAAAAATGTTTGACGCAAATATGGAGGTAGTGAGTTGACATGTGTATTATGTCATGTCTGCTGTAAGGTAATTAAGTTGATGCATAGAACGTTTTCCTTTGTAAATTTTCTATTATCGCTCGTGTTGTCTTCTATTCATCCATATGAATTCTTTGTTTTGTTTTGAAATATTTTTATTTGATTTAAAAATCATATGAAAAATCTTTGTCTATCATTAAATATTAATTTCTAATCATATAATTTTTTTTTTTCTATATTCAATTCATTCATAGATATTTATTTATATATTTAAAAAGTACATTTTATTAAAACATTTTCTTTAGTCTAATATTTACAATTTTAAATATATGATGGCATATGTGTTGGTAAAAGTGCTAATGAATTTTTAATAAATGGATATGTACCATTCTTACAAAATGCTCCATTAAAATCATCCATATCAACTAAAAAAAGAAACGAAGAAAAGAATGAAATTAAATTTGAGAAAAAAAGAAAAAGACAACATACGAGACCAAACAAACATTCCTCCTAAATTATTAGCAACAACATAAGCAGCCCGTTTTCGAATATTATCCAATGTTTCATATGATATCCATTCACGATCTTTAAACATATATTCAGATTCTGAACCATCTGGTACAGTGCGTTTTTGCCAAGTAGAATCCATTTGTAATACACAAATCTTATCAATCAAATAAACAAATAATTATTATGCAACAAACAAAAAAAAAATAAAGAGTTGTTTGATTGTTTTTACTTCAAAATATGAAAGAAAACCAGCACTACGTGTAAATGGACCACTAGTACCATTTCCAATTGTTGGTGAATGAAGTTCATTTTGATCAGATCGTGCTAATAAAAAACTTCGAGCAAATAATGGAACACCAAGAACAAGTTTATAAGCAGGTGCACCATTTTTTAACCATATAGCAACACCAAAATCCTATTAAAATCTTTTAAATAAAAGAAAACAACAAGATTTTTTTTTTTTGAATAAATATACTTGATTAAGCATTGTATCTGCATCAAGTTCATCAAAACGTCTATATAATGGTGCATTAAGTCCTGTATAATTTTGCCATGCACCATGAAAATCACTAGAATACTCATCAAAGTCATAGTTATTTGATTAATAAATAATCTTACTAGGTCATAACATTTAGAAAATCTAAAACTCTAAAAATTAAAAACCATTAAAAAAAAACGTATAAAATTAAAAATTTGTTTTTACCTTGTTATTTTTTCTATTTCATAACCATTTACAACAATATATTCTTCAGCAGCTACTGTTGCTCCTAATATTAATCGTGGTTGACCTGTTATTAAAGATTGAGCCATAGCTGCATCTTGAAATTCCTATTCAATAAATAGATACATATTAGATTTGTTTTTCTCTTTGCTTAATCAAAAATTTGTTCACTTGAAAAAATAATGTTAAATAATATTTATCATCAGATTTTCCACCACGTACACCTGGATATTCCCAATCGACTTCTAAACCATCAAATTTATGTTTACGAAGAAAACTATATAAGCAAGAAGAAAAAAAAAAAAAAATAATAATAATAAAATTTTCTTTATAATTTACTTAATACTATCAAAAACAAAATTTCGTCGTTTTTCACTATCATGCACCATTGTTGAAAATGCATAAGATTTCATATTCCAACCACCAACAGCAAGTAATGTTTTTAATTTTGGATTTCGTAGTTTTAATGCATTTACACGTTTGTAAAGATCTAGTTTTTGAATAGAAGAAAAAAAAAGACCAGTTTCATTTCTAGACATGTATTTGATACAAATAGACATGAGCAGAACTAGTCGTTTTTAATTCCGATCCCTGTTCCATCAGAACTATCTTGCCCATACCTATATAGAATACATAAGTCCTGACTAGCGAGTTCCGGGTCCACGTTTTTTATGAACTCGGACCCGACAAAAAGAATAAAACTTTGAATCCGAGTCTAGATGGTCCTGTAGCTCCCTAGTCGTGACATTCAAGGTACGTTTCACACGATCCTAAAAAGTATTGTTCCTAATGGAAAAGTGCTGGTTCTGCTACATCTTATCTATATCTGGATACAAACCTTCATCATTTTCTTCTATTGGTCTTATTAGTAATGTTTGATTATCAATACCAGCAAATGCATAAATAACATGTGTACAAAGAAATGGATCAATATTTTCAGGTTCAAATTTTGCTGGAGGAGTTCGATATTGAGCCCAGTTTGTAAAATAACAAATTTTCTTATATTTAAGTTCGTCTGAAAATATATAATAGATTTTTTTTTGTTGTTTTTAATAAAAATTAATTTATCAATGAAAATGTTTGTAGCAAAAAAATGAAGAAGAATAAATGAAACTGTCATCTCCTATCGTTACTATATTTTATCTTGAATTAATTTGTTTAGAAGTTCCTGTATACTTTTATTTTGATAGAATAATTAATATTTTTAATTTACCTTCGTTAACAGGAATCTGATGATGAACTACAATAGAAGAACGACTCGATTTTGGCTTTATCGATGAATCTTTTCCAATTGCTTTATTATCTAATTTCATTAGTGGATATCCATGAGACCATATTATACCTGATGATTGTCTCGATGTATCGCGTTCAGCTCGCTACAAAATCAATAACAACGATATTTACTTTTTTTTTTTTCTTTATTAAATTTTTTATTCTATTCTTACCTTATGTAAAAGTTTTTTCATTGAAAATGAATCCATTAGTTTATCAATTGTGGGTGGTAATGAAACAAGTCTTGTTTGTTGTTGTTGGTGTTGTTGTTCTTGTAAATCATCATTTTCATTTGTTTGTGGTGATGCTGCTAAAATAAAACTAGCTACACGATGAAATTGTGCATTTTCAGTTGATGCTAATAAAGCAAGTTGTTCAAATGCATCATTTATAGGAATTTTAACTAAACATTGTTGTGATGTTTCATCAAATATTGATTGACCTGGACATCGATATAATGCCCAACTATTAAGACCAATATAATTAAGTACACATGGATAATACTGTGATGGATCACGATAATATGCACATAAACGTGGTAAATCAGATAAAGAACCTAAAAAAAGAAAATTCTTTTGTTTTGTTGTTGTTGTTGTTTTTTTTTTTAGTTTTTAAATATCTCACGTGAAATTTTTTGTGCAATTAAATAATTATTTAATAAATATAAAAAACAAAATAAGATAACGAAATTTGAACGTTGAAAAATCATTTTATATTGAAATGATGTTGTAATGAATATACATAATCATACTGAAATAGAACCATACAAATACTCTTATGATTAAATAAAATGAAATCTTATTTCTTCACTCTCACTCTCTCTCTCTCTCTGTTTATTCGTCTCCTCTCTTTTTTTTGACTAGATTCAGATTACATCATTGAATATGTTAGTGAATCTTGTTTGTAGATGGTAACAAGGATCAATAGAATATTTAATAAGATATATATACTTGGATTTGTTTCACAATATATAAAATATATTCTCACTTATTATCTTTGTTGGATATTAACGAGATGAATGTTCAACTATGAAATATATGTGTCAATGTATACAAGGTCATCATCGGTATTCAAATACAATGATCCATTCTTTACTTTCTCATATTTCGTGTTTTTTTTACTTGTCTTTTTGTTTCGATTAGGATCAAGTTCATTATTTTTTTGTGTTAAGTGTATCCATTCAATGGACATTTGTTTTATGCTCTATAGGTGACTATTGTTTGTTTGAATGCTAGAGTTTTATTCACCTTGTTCGTACACGCATTGTACATATATATATATATGTATATTCTGTGTAAGTACATGACATTTGGTGTCCAGTTGTATATTCTATCTATGTATGCATAGTATAAGCTGTTGACACGCGGATCTTCTGCTATTACACGAAGGAGGAGATTGTTTGATTAGTAACCAATTGGTTTTTTTCTTGTTACTACTCCCACAACTATAACTCTTTGGTCATATCGAATTGTGTCTACTGTTCATCGTCGTCTTTGTCATTTGTATACTTCTATCTAGCTGGTGAGCTTGAACGAAAAATAAATTTGAATTTTGATCAATATTACGCATCGTTGTTATGACGTATCATCTCATATCCATCTTATTGATTATTATTATCGGTCAAATCAATGACATTAATGCAAATCGGATAAGTACGTCTGAGTGTATAATAAGAATTAATGATTAGATCATCGGTTTTTATAATGATTGAATATTATTTGATATTGTAATTAAAAAAATTAAGAATTCTATTGAAATCATTCGATTTTTAATTTTATTGTTTCATAAATAAACAATTCATTTCGATCGTCCTTTAGATTTAAAATAAAGTGATTTTAAATTCGTAATAATAGTCGAGAAAAAAATATAACCATTAATTAAATAGAGACATTGACTATTTCTTTTTGATTAGCTTCAATAAATGAAGAATCTTCATCAATGCGTCGTGTATGTTATGTTACAAATTGGTCTCGATATCGATCTGGTGAAGCTAAATTTGAAATTGAATTTATTGATCCATTTATGTGTTCTCATATTATTTATGCTTATGCCACTGTCGATGAAAATAAACCTGAAATTATACCAATACAAAAAGATGATCTTGGTTAGAACAAAAAAAAAAACAAATAAAAAATTTCTAATATAAAATTTTATTTTATTTTATTTTTAGAACATTATCGAGAACTTGCTTTATTAAAAAGAACAAATCCAAATTTAAAAATATCTATTCGATTAGGTGGTAAAATTTCTCAATATACACGATATTTAAAACATTCAAAAATGGCTACACAACTTGTTCGTAGTCTTATATGGTAATTTTAATTGTTTAAATTTAATCATTAAATCAGTTTTTTGTTTTGTTTATATATATTTAAGGTATATGGCAACATATGGTTTTGATGGAATTGATATAGCACTTGAATTTCTTGATGCAGATGTTCCAGAAGATAAAGCTGCATTAACAACATTAATTGAGGTTACTTTTTGAAAAAAAAAAACAAATAATGAAAAAGTTTTTTTTTTTTTATTTATTTAGGAACTAGCTAAACAAAAACGATTAATGTTACGATCAATAATTACATTAACAGCAGCACCATTTGTAGAAAATCTTGTAAAAGTATATGATATTGACAAAATTGGAAAGTAATATTAATAAAAGAAAAAAAAAAGAATATTTATAATTGATAAATATTTTTTTGCATCTTAGTCTTGTAGATTATATCAATTTAATGACTTTTGATTTTTATGGTAAATAAATAATAAAATATAATTCGAAAACATATTTGTTATATATATATATATATATTATTATAATTAGGTCCATGGGATGAAAAAACAGGTGTATTTGCACCATTATTTCATCAACATTATCAAGTGGAAGCTGAATCACTTCGCAATGTTGTAAGTAAAATAAATAATTTTGATGATTTTCTTTACTATGAATTTCATAGGATGGTCTTGTTAAATTATGGCTTAGTCTTGGTATATCACGAGGAAAAATTATTATTGGTATACCAGCTTATGGTCGTTCATTTACATTATCAAGTAGACAAACAAGTCTTCATGCACCTGGTTTGTTTATTTTGTTCAATCATATTTTATTATTCTATTTTTGTAGCTAATGGTCCAGGTTTTCCTGGTCGATATACAAAAACTCGAGGTTTTCTTTCATATTATGAGGTTAATATTATTCTCATATTTCAAAATGAGAACAAAAAAAGAAAATATCTATAATTTTGTTTTATGTTATATTTGATCAGGTTTGTGAAAAAGGACAATCTCAAAACTGGCAACGTGTATGGTTAGATTCTGAAAAAGCATGGTATATGACTAATGGTGATCAATGGATTACTTATGAAGATGTTGATTCGGCAGCACTTAAAGTAAATTTTTATCTCTCAGTATAAACTCGACTATTGAACATCTTATACTTGTGAGTAATCTCAGATCCGATAGAGCAGTTTTTGCAGTTGCTTTCTCTATTATATTCTCTTTACTGTAAACCAGAGATGTCTATGATGGCGCAGCGGCGATAGATTCTCAGCTATGATGGACATCTATGCTATAAACACATGTGCAATGTTTTTTTCATCTCTTTCTACTGTCTATTAGTATGTAGATTTTATGTATTGTTTGACTACTGCTCTACATGTAAAAGAAAGAATGATATGAGCTTATTTTGTAAGCAAAAAAATTGAATTTATTAATGAGTTAGAATTAAATGTTATTGACATTGATAGTACTTCAAAAGTAGAAAGGCGAATAATATTAGAAGATTCATTTCATCACAAACTATAACTGAACAATGATTTTCATAATAGAGAAGTTTTACTGTAAATATAGGCACAATATGCAAAAGCAGAACAACTTGGTGGTGTATTTATATGGAGTATTGATAATGATGGTATGTGTAATTAATATTGTAATAAAATTATAATATTTCATAATATATTTAAGAATTTTCTGGTTTCTTTTGTAATACGGAACCATTTCCAATAACTCGACAAGTTTTTTCAACTCTCAATCTTCCTGTACCAGTAACAAGTCCATCATCAATATCTATTCAACAACGAATGCCAGCTGCTATTGGTCCTGTTACTGTTGCTCCAACAGTTCGTTTTGTTAATGTGCAAGCTCAAAATTTACCACCAGCATCATCATCATCATCAATAATACCTAATAATTTACAACAATTATTAAATGCTCTTAGTATTTTATCAGGTACAACAAGTTATACACCTATTGTTGAATCAACAGCACCACCACCAGTTGCACATCAAACATATAATGCTGAATATATATGTGTTCGTCATCATGCTGGTCGTAATGGAATATATCGTGATCGTAAAAATTGTTCAATATTTTATTTTTGCGAAGGCAATGATTTATCTTCATTACGTTATCATATATTTTTTTGTCCGCCTGGACTTGAATTTTCAATGGATGCATGTACATGTGATTGGCCAACAGGTCGTTCATGTCAAACAACAGGTGACACATTTTGTGTAACACATCCATCAATGACAACAACAACGACAACGACAACAACAACAACAACAACAACAATCCAATCAAATATTCCACAATCAGCTATGTTTGCATTAAATGGTTTAGGTCAATTATTAGGTATATCAGGTGGTTCAACACCAATATTTGATTGTGCTGGTCGACGATCTGGTCTTTATCGAGATATGTATGATTGTACAAAATTTTATTTTTGTACAACTAATAATCAACCATCAGATGGTACATTACTTCGTTATGATTTTATTTGTCCAACAAACTATGCATTTAGTATGACAACATGTCGATGTGAACTTGGACAAAGTCATACATGTCATACATTAACAAAAACTGATTGTCTTCTTTTGTAAAATAATAAGCAAAACAAAAAGACAAAGACTTATTTAATATAATAATTTTTTTCTGTTTTATTGTTATTACTATTTAATTTAATATTACATTGAAATAAAAAAAACGATGAAAAGAAATTTAATATTACATACATTAGTATCCAAATATATCGATTGATTTCAACAAATTTTGAATGTATTAAAATCATTGAATCATAAATCAATTTTATTATTTAATATAAAATTGTCTACAAATTTTCTTTGCAATCGATATTCTGTCATTGAATATCCATAAAAACTTTTATGTTAAATATCAATTATTGGTACAATCTCCGATTCGATTCCATTTGATAATCTCTCCTTTGGGCTCTTTCTCAATACATTTCTAAGATTATCAATTAAAATGATTCCTAATTATATTAAATATAGACGAGAATAGCTGGGTCTAGGACAGTTGCTTGCGAGACAGTTGCTTGCTTCGATAATTACTCGTTAAGACATTTGATTGCCAGAACAGTAGCTCTCTAGGACATTTGCTCCCGTATGTATAGATGAAGAGAAGCTCCACACCTATATATCTCACTTCCCACGTCTACATCCTACAAGAAAGCCTCCTACACCCGCGAATAACTATCCAGCTCCCATACAATGAAAACAATAAGGTTGTTTGTGTTTTTACTTCTTAACAAAATGCGCTTTTATGAACTTTGTCACATTAAGTTTTTAATCGTAAACTTTGATAGTTAAGTGCAAGTGCATTACAATGTGTATCTTAATAATGATTGTTGACATATCATTTGATTTAAATCGAATTATTATATTGATTCTGCATAACCAATAACCATTCGTGAAGGAGGTAAACCAATAATTGAGATTCATTCAAATGTCTTTTCTTTTGATCTCAATAAGTTGAGAATATCATTGATAATCATTCTGTATCGTTCATAACTACATTTACAAAATAAAAAATGATTGATCATTTGAGTATCATACCGTTTCATCGACAATTTTTTCTCCTTTTAACAGACTAAAATCTAATAATTAAGCGTTTTATTCATTTTTTTAAGGAAATGATAGAGCATCGTAGATGTGGATCACTACTAGTGCTCAAACGAATAAGAGTGTAGGTTATGAGGAGGTCAATACCTGCGCCCGCAACTCTTCTTGTCCAATGTTATTATTGAAAAATAGACAATTAGTGATATTCTTTATTATTTGTGTCTTAACTAGTCGATGAAACACGAGATTGAACCATTATGTATTTTTTTTTGTAAAATTCTCTTCAGAAATAATTAATAAAATCAAAAACAATAGACAAATTAACAATTTAACTTTTAAAAAATAAGATTTAAATTTTGTCTAAAATTATTCGATAAGTTGAACTGATTGTAAATCGATGACCATTTCTCATTTGAGAAAGAAATCTTTTTTTCCTCTCCTATTTCTTTGTGTCTACACATTAATCATCATTAATCCAAAATGACTTTGACCAAATGCTTTCGTTAAAAATGACAATGTCGATAGGATATATACATGTCTATGAACAAGACATTGAACAGGAGCACGCACAAACTCATTTTCTTCGCTTTTTTTTTTCCTACGTTATATTCTCTCAAGAGAGTATCAGATATAACGAATATGTATATAAATACATATAGCTATACATCACTTATCTATATGTATGAATTCATTCATTCATATTGTCTATTGTTCTTATTGTTGCCACGGTTTCGGTTCGTTGAACATGCGGACACGATGAGAGTGTGACCTTTGAAGGTGCATATATATATTCTCTTCACTTACTGAGTTTTAACCGTGTCCATATCTTGATTTCTAGTGGAGAGTAAAAAAAAAGAAGAAAAAAAACAACACAACTTACCTTGACTGAATAGTGTGATGTGATAAAAAAAAAAAAGAAAACTCATCATAAATTGTTGAATATTAAATTATTTGAAAAATAAAAGTTCGGTAAGAATTATTACTATCAAAATATTCATATTTAGTTAATAATAAATATGAATTTAACAATGCAACAACCAATATCCTATCCATTTTATATGGATTCATCACATCTTCAATTTTCTTTTCCATGGTCTTCAAATCCTTTTCAATTTCCAACTAATTCTCAACAATATTTTCCTTCATCATATCAACCACCACCACCATTACCACAACCTATATCTTATCCATTACCATTTATTTTATCTCATCAACAACATCATAATCTACCATCAAAGATTCCACAATCATTTTCATCATATTCAAATACACGTTATAATCATTTAAAACAATCTACAAGTCATATGAATCGTCATCGTTCTATTGATACATCATTATATTCTCAACGTTATTCTATATCAAATCATCAATATCCAACATCAAAAACAAAATCTGAAACAGATTATCAATCAAATTCAAGAAATTTACTTAAAGCACATTCATGGCATTCAATGAATCATTTAAATCAATCAAATTTAAATATAAATTATGGAAAAGATATACCTTTAATACACGATAATCATTATTATAATTCATATTTATCAAAACAAAATAAACAATTACATAAAAGAAATTTATCATCATCACCAAAACAAAAACAAATGCCGAAACAAGATATTGTACGTATAACAACATTAGATAAAGTACCAATTATTAATAATCCAATATATCAAGATGATACAATTATTTCTACTAAAAATAAAAATCAATCTACTCAACAACCATCACCATTATTATCATCGTCATCATCATCATCATCATCCTCATTAAGTACTTGTAGTAGTCATTCATCATTACAAAAAATTTTAAATGGTTCATTACGTCATGATCCATTACTTAATGCTGCTATGGAAGATTTTCGACAACTTCGTCAAACATCAAGTCGAAGTACATCATTAACGTATGTCGTGTGTTTTTATTATATTCAAGATTTTATTTAACTTTGTTGGTTGTTTTCTTTTTTTCTTTAGTCCTCATCATCGAGATTTAAGTCGTGATAGTCTTTGTTCTAATTCAACACATCATACATTAACACCAAGATCACGTAATCATAGTCAATCAAGTTTTACATCACTTGAACGTTTAGAAATTCGAAATTTAATTAAAACTCTTAAAACAAATGGTTTACAATCATTAAATATTCCTATACAATTATTAACAAATTCTGTACAATCAACAGAAATTTTTTTAAATAAAAAATCATCATCATCATCAATATTAACAATAAATAAACCAGATAAATCTTCTGTTACTGAAGAATTAGAACGAGAATTTAATAAATTACGTTCAAATAATCCAAATCTAGAATTAATCTATGTTAAACCATCATTACTTAAAAAAGATAAAAAATCAAATTCATCATTATCAATAGATAATAAAAAAAAAAATGAAACAAATGATGTAAGTTATTTATTAATTCGTATCGACACCACACACGAGAGCAAAGAGCGAGGAAGGAGGAGGAGGTTGAACTCTCGGCAAATTTTTAAAATTATTGCTAACGATAGCTCCACAGAAAGGTTGAGAAGACTTAGTTCTCTTGACCAAAGATCTTGACGCTGCTGCTATTATTAAGTCATATGAAATTTTTATTAGAGTAATGCAACCCATAGGTACGGGTATGGACAAGGCTATCGTTGCAAGATGAATAGGATTAGGACAAGCGCCTGACGACAGGACGTCTGTTGTGAGACGAGCCGGATCACGCCGCTCCACTCCCTCAGTCATCACTCCGAGGATGAAAATATATTCTAAGAGAATTTGCGGAATAATTTTTAGTCCCTACGACAAACTGTATCCGTACAATACTTAAATTTTTATTTTAGTCATCAACATTAAAACAAATCAATGAAAATCCAAAATTATCAAATCCTATATCATTAAATAGTCCAAAAATTTCATCTGAAATATCATCTAATGAAAAAAATCTTTTAGAAACAAAACCTGAATATGCAATACCAATAAAAAAAATTTCTGATGTTAATCTTCGTTCAACAAAAAAAGATGAACAAATACGTAGTTTTAGTTTTTGTAAACCAATAAATGATATTGATAATGATATACGTCAAACACGTCCATTATCAATGTTTAGTTGGTTACATTGTGGTTTAACAAATCCATTTCCAACAACATTTCAACCAAATAAAATTACAAATAATAATAATAATAATAATAATGAATATGATAAATCATTAGTTAAAGAAAATATTTATGCATCTGATATTGATGTACATATACCATTACCAGATGAAAAAGATTATCTTAATAATCAAACAATAATGACAGATTATCTTTCTGATTATAAACCAACAACAAATAATAATTCTTCAATATTAAATGATTTATCACGTTTATTTACACGTTTTGGTAATAATAAACATGAACATAAAAGTAAATTAAAAAGAAAATTACATAAAAATAATAATAATAATAATAATAATAATAATAATTTACGTTGTTCAATTATGTAAAGAGAATGACTTTTTTTTGTCATTGTTTTTGTTTATCTTATTCATTATATATGTAGAATTTTAGTATTTAAATATTTACATTTTGTTTGTTTGTTTTCATTTTTTTTGTTCTATTTCACAAGATAAAATTTTTTCTCGAGTAAGTTTAGTTAAACGACAAAATATTCCACGATTATTTGTTGTTTGAAAATAACATCGACCACGTACAATACCATTTGTTTTACCTAATGATGGATCATCAAGTATAACACCAGCCCAATCACCAATACCTAATGTTGTTTCACCAATATATAATATAATACCTGACCATTGACCATTAACATATATTCGATCACCAATTTTTAATGAATCTGTATCATGATTAAATATAGGTTCAAAACGAGATAATTCATGTGTTGTTGGACTTGTAAAAAAATTTGTACGACTACAAATTGATCGTGAACGATTATTATTTGTATTTGTATTATTTGAAATAAATTTTTGACAATTATGATGACTTGTACTATGTGGAAGTTGTGTTGTTGTTGTTGTTGTTGTTGAAGAATTTTTGCGTTGAGTAGGTGTTAAATGAGTCGATGTAGAACGTGGAAGAATAGTTGTTGCAGATTTGCGCATTTTATTACAACTTCAAATAAATAAAGAATAATGAATACACGTCACATACATATATAATGAGATTATATATAATCATGCAGCTATTATTCATCTATTCTTCAGAATAATCAATTCCCGACAAGAACGAAAACAAATTGAATGCTTTTTTAGATTGCTATTGGCAATTATTGTTTAAATTTATCGAGACTATCTGATAAAAAAAAATAATCTATCGATACAATATTACTATTTACTTACATGATCTCTTATTGCGTAAGTTTTATTCTTCTTCTTCTTCTTCTTCTTATTGTCTTTTTTTATACATGAACTCTAGATTTAAATCAAGTGAAAAAAAAAAAGAAACAATTAACCTACCTATCTACCTCCACTGAGTAGACGTTGTCGTCGTTCATCTAATTATTTGACCGGAGATTACCGTAGTGTACATGTAACAACGAACTATTATTTTCTTTTTTGTATCTCATGTAGTCTACTGTCTTTTTTCTCTCTTCTTTTTTTTTGTTACTTCGTATGTCTTCATTTTCTTTTCCAAATCCTAATGTATTACTGAGAAGAAAACAAATGACGTATATTTTCTGTTCTTTTTTTTTTCTTTCGATCTTATTCTCATTTCTCTTTCGTCTGTAATTGAGCTATGTAGACCTTTTTTTTTCCCAAGCCTATCTTTTTTTTCTCTTCATGTCGTCATTATTCATTTCCATAGAACATCTCTTGAGAGATCACGCATTAATCAGTATTTTATTAAAAATAAAAAGCACACGTGAAACAAAAAAAAAATGCATATATTTATATATAAATTAATATATTGCAAAGATAAGAAGAGATTCACGTTGAAATTTGTTCTATTTGGTTCTATATATTGTTCGAATATCAGACTGACAAGATGTAAAATATTAATGAGAGATTCTGTTCTTATATTTAATGATGATGGAGATAATATACATTAGTTAATTTTGTCAAGGGATTGTTGTCAGTTGGTTCTCGAAATGAAACACGTCTTCCATCAAGGTTATTTGTTGAATTAATGAATCTTAATGATTGTTGTTGATTGATTTCATTAGATGGATTTGTTTGATGTATATTCGTATTTAATGTTTTGTTTGATAATAATCTAAATTAAATATTAATTTTTAAATACAAAAAAATAAAAGAAATCTTTAATCTTACTGTTGTATTTGTTGATCAACAGCAGCTAATTCATCTGTTACTTGCATTATTTTAAGTAACATACGACTTCGTTGTTCATTTAATTCAAGTTTAGCTTGTACATCTTTTTGATGTTCACTTAACATATAAACTAAATCATGTTCTAATTGACGTATACGACATTCAATAAATGGTGATTGTTGAGATGAACGATTTGATTTTAAAGCACGAAGTTGTCGACTTTTTTGTTGAATTGTATCAATTCTTTTAAGAAAAAAAAAAACAAAATATAGATTTCAGATAAAAACTTTTTATTAATTAATTACTTCATATTAGCAAGATGAATTTCACTACATGTTGGTTCTAATGAAGCTAATCGATCAAGTGAATTAAGTGCTTGTTTTAATGAATCAATATAAATAACAAGTTGTTCACGATGATGACGCATTGTTGAAAGAAATTGTTGTTGTCGATAATCTTTAGGTATATCAGCTGAATAATAAATAAATATATTTATAATTAAATCATTTGATAAATCATAAAATTAAGAATGCCGAAAACTATAAGCAGCGCTTACCTCACCTGGATTTGTCGATAAATGATTAGTAGAATTAAAATTAGATAATAAGAATGATGATGGAATTGCACTATTAATCTGTTGTCTTGGATTTTGTTGTTGTTGTTGTTGTTGGTGCAATGATAAAAACTTACAAAAAAAAAACCAACAAGAACTTTAATAGACAAAATTTTGTATGAAATATTTTACTTCTTGTAAAAGTGGTGGTGTTTTATCCATAATTCCTCTATTAGCAGATGTTGAAAGATTATGATTTAAAAAATCTGTATTAGTCTTATTAATTGATGGTAATACATATTGTGGTGGTGATGTTATTAAATAAGATTCATCACGTTTTTTTTGCATTTCTTTTAATTCTTGACGTAAACGTTCAACACGGTCTTCAGCCAATTTTAAATCTTTTCGAAGTTCATTAAAATTAATTGATGATAATGGTAATAGAGCTATAGATAACACCAAAAACAAAAAAAAAAGAAAGAAATTATATTCAATTATGATTATCCTTTTTTTTTTTTACTTGTTGTCAATGATGTCGTCGAAGAAGAATCAGATTCTAGTGTCGAATGTTTTATAGGTAAAGAATTTGTATCAATACTTGTAACTTGTAAATATTGACGAATCATTTCTGCTTGTTTTTTTTGTCGATCAAATTCATCGAGATTTTCAACAGATATATTATTCGTCGTAATAGACATTAGCAAATTTTTATTAACACAAAAGAAAAACAAAACGAACTCAATTAATCGACTTTATTTGATTCATCAAATAGAAAAAATATATATATTGATGAGAGAAAAACAAAAATGATCGATTAATTTACTAATTGATAATGATCACTTTCTTTTTCTTATTAGACCTATTTATTCGAGTTAAGCAAAGCAAATAAAATACATAATAATTAACCCTTACTTTGAAATATACATATTTATATTTAAGATTTATTATTCTTCATATCGAGAACTGTATTCATAGAATACATTTAATAAAAATTAATTGATGTATTTTTCTCTCTATCACGCAGTATACTCAACGCGTTTATGCACTTAGATTGATTAACAGGACATAAAAAAAACAGTTAGTCTCCAACAAGGATATTTTTCAAAGGTATCCATATATCGTCAACAAAAAATATATACTTCAGCTGTTCATGCAAGAACCACGTGTTGTGAAAAATTTTTATAATTAATTAATTATGCGCTTTCATGATATACATGTTTTTTCATTTACATATATATATTTATATATAGTACAATTGTGAAGTGTATATTAAGAATCATTAGAAAAAACAAGATGAAGTATGTATCAATGCCTTTATTTCAAATAATATTTTTATTAATAGACTAAAAGAATTTTCCTGAAGTTTATTGTATTCATTAGAAATCTTAACTTGTTAATGCAAATGTTTTTATAACATTTACTAATGTTAGCATAGAATTCATAATTCTCCCGCAGATGAAAATCTTACAAACATAACAAATTCTATTGTCACTAGTATACAATTAAGTGACATAGATACTAGCGACAAAAATTTTTTATTATTTTTTTAACAAAGATTTCTTTTTAAATATTATTTATTATAAATATGAAATTAAAAATATATTTTTTTTTCTCCCATTTTACTAAGTATACAATAGCATCAATATTATTTGCATGAATGTGTCAAATATTCTATTAGATTTACTTAACCCCTCGAAAAAAGAATATTTTTAGTCCTTGTTATTGATCGTATTTTTGCAGTACTAACAAATAGAAAAGAACAGACAAGTTCTATGAATCATTTAATCGACGAACCATTAATATATAAATAAATAAAAATAAAAAATAAAAAAAATAGCGTTGTTTATAATTGCAGCCATTTTTATTCAATTGTATTTTTATTTCGAGGATATTTTCATTCGTCTTTTGTTTTCTTTTTTTTTGACATATTTGACATCAAAATCTTAATCGAAAATTTTTTTATATTAAATTTCATTATTTTATAGATATAAATAAAATAAATATGATCTTAAGTATATTTTTATTTTCTTTTGTTTTTTCTTTATATTTAAGATACTTATGCACTTTAAATTGAACAAAGACATGAGTCAGTAATCAATAAAGAGAAAAATACAAGACAGAAAGATTGTTCACCGGCAACAGACAAAGATTTTTGAAAAATAAACTAACTTTTTTCTTTCTTTTTTTCTTTTATTAATATTTTTCATCACAAAAAAAAGAATTCTCAAAACCAAAGAAAAAAATCATCTAGAATCATTAAATCATTTTTTTTTGCTTCCATGAAAATCTTTCGAATGTACTCTATGAACTTAGTGGTTATTTCAGATTTCTTATTCAATTAAACCTAAATAAAATAATTGTCTAATGTCGATGCAAAAAGTCGACAATTTTGAATCATCATCATCATCATCAACAACAACAACAACACCAATTTTTGGTAATACTGTATCACAAACAAAAATTCAACAACAACAACAACAACCAAATAATGATGAAGTTGACAAATTAGAAACATCATCACAATCGGTTATTAATGGAGAAAATATTAAAACTAATGATCATGAAGGTTCAACTACAACAGAATCTGTTCGTGAAAATAATGGTACAAATAATATAACTGATGTACATGTTAATGGACAAAATGAGAAAACAACTGTTGATGATCTTCAACCAATTGATGCAACAATTAAAGATAATATTAAACCAACGGAAGAAACTATTTCAACATCAGAAGCACCACAACCAATGGAAAAAACAAGTCAAAATGAAGCCATTCCGGAACCATCAAATGAACAAACGGATAATCTTACATCAACAGTTCCACCGCCACCACCACCAGTTGATGTACCAGTATCAACTGAACCTGAATCTGCATTATCAACATCAACTGATGTTGTTAAAGAAGATGTATCATCAACATCAGCAACAACTAATGTTGATAATGTTCCTCCTGTTGAAACAACATCAACATTAAATGAAAATATTCCTACATCAGTTACAGTTCCTGAGGCAACACCAGAACGCAAAACTAAAGTAATAATTTCCTTTTTATTTATTTTTCTAATTTGTTAAAAATTTTTTTTTGTGTACAATAGTCTCCTCGTGGTAAAGCTAAAACACCAGTAGTATCAACACCACCAACACGTCACTCAACACGTGCTAGAAAACCTGTTTCATCAACAAATGAAGAAGAAGAAGAAGAACAACAAACAACTGAAGATATTCGTGTTTCAACACCAAGTCAAAAAACATCATCACCATCACCAAAACGTACAAAACGTCAAGCAACAACAAAAGATACTACACAACCCACTTCAACATCAGGTAATAAAAATACACTAGTCGAAATAAACTTTAATTCTTCTTAATATATTGAACTCTGATCGCAAGGAGACTTAATCGGTCTTCATAATGGAAATGTTAGAAAGTTAACATTAGATTTCATCGATCCTAGGAGAAAAATATTTATAATCAAAATATTCGACAAAAGAATTTCAATTTATATAATAACTTTTTATTTGATAGTAGAATTGTATAATTTTGTATGTTTTCTTTTAGGTAGTAGTTTAACTGAAGAAGTTAAACCTCGAAAT